GCTGCTAGCGCACTGCGTTCTTTCAAATGGAGTAGCAGCAGATGCAGTTCTGGACTGCCTTCTCACCACTGCCTTTATGTATCTAGCAGCCGGAAGCAGTCGTTCTGCGGAAATAACGGAACTTATTTTGGAGCTATTGTTTGCAGAGGTTCTTCCTTAATAGCATTTTTTTTTGTAAATTTTTTGGCCAATAATAATTTTTTATCTATTTTTTATCTACAACGGAATTTTACAGGTTTAGCGTCAGTGAACAATCTGATCTGTGCCGTGAGGAATGAATGTTTGAATTTTTCTTTTTTTTTTTTAGGATATTGTCATTGCTAATCGATGCAGATGTGTAATGGCAGCTATTACATCAAACTACTCTGCTACCTGTGTCAAAAATCACCAGTCCTTATTTGTGCTGGTGGAAGGTGCTGCATCGGCAATTGCGGCGGAACACAAAACTTCCAGTGCATCATCCACTGGTCACTTATTGGCCACTAAATTTACTCCGTCAATTGTTGGTGAGCTGGAAACTGAACTACAGAATTTGCTTGTCCAGGCCAAGTCATCGTCGGATTCGGAAGGCTTTACGAAAGGTATAAAGCATCATAACTTCTGTTTGCTTATCAGTTATGGGTTGGTAATGACTGGATAAGCATTAACAATAATGATACAGCAAAGATCACTGGTGTAGTGGTTATTTGTGAAGTGTGGTAAAAAGAAGGAATGAAGGGGACTGGGTTGATGGGTAAGTAGTAGGGTGTAATGGAATGTAAATTTAAGAAATTTTGATAACTGACAGAGATTTGAAGTAGTAAATTATGGGTTTGGAATTTGGGGGAGGGGAGGGGGAAGGCAGACAGAGATAATAGAGCCGATGAAAGACATGAAATATCTAGTTATATCACAATCTTTGGAGGATTGAGTGCTAAAAAATCTGTCTGTGGCTTAATATTAGAACTGCGTGGGGTAAGAAAATGAAGTCTGTGACTGGGCATTGGTCAGCGATATAAGACCGTCTTACATGTCATTCTAGTGACGTTAAAAGAACGCCGGGAGGGTTTGACTTTACACGAATACGATTTCGCCTTTTAATTTTTCTGTGCACCTACTTCGATGACTTCTGCTGTAAATTAAGTGTTGTTGCGATTTAGCCAAAAATATGGATGAGGTTTCCATTTCAGTCGATAAAATGTCAATTTTATCCGTGAGCAGTAGATGAAGTTCCAGACATTCGTTAGTGTTCAAGCAAGT